GAAGTATAAGCTGAATATATTTTTCTTAATCTTTTATTGGTGATAAAAGCTTATCATTCAACTTGTGATTTATATTTCTGAGAGTGAATTTTATTTTTCTGTTTCCCCATACAATACTTCTTTTTGGTTTAAATCATTATTGACTGACTCTGATTTGATGGGAGGTGTAGTTTGGTCTTCCTCACTGCTTGGCTGCACACACGGCTCCTAGGCCTTACTTTCCTCATTTGTAGAACAAAGTGTTTTATATCTTCTACCCTGAAGGTGCTATGACTCTGAGATAAGATTTATCTTTCCATAGATGGCCAGGAGATTGTTCCTCTGTCAATCTAGAAAGAAAGAAAATTTGTGCCATCATAGCATTTTCTCTTCTTTTCCAACAAACCTTTTCAATACATCTAAGTGCTTGAGACAAATACTTATTTTGTGCATTATATTTAAGAGTGGTATACAAATAAACAATGAAACAGAAATTCTACCACTTTTTATTTTCCACCAACTTGAATATTTTTTAAAGCAGCACACTAAAACCTACTTTTTCCCTATAAATTAATAATAAAAAAGCATATTTATACATTATCATTCATGCATTCTCTGGTCTTTCCATTAGTGATTTGTTTCAGTTTGAGATGGGCCTTTCATGTTAAATAGTCTTCCATTAAAGTTGAAGCTAGTGTTATTAATACTAGCAGAGTTTTACACTTATAGCATTATATTAGATATGAAGAGTTTTCATTGCTTCACCTGAAAATTGCTTTGAGAGAAAAGTAACAGTGAGGTGTACTGATAAATAGGGATAGAAACATCATCAAACTGAGACTCGGAAATAAGAATAGTGATCATTTACCAGGTACAGGCCCGGTCTGTAAAGCATTTTATATTTATTTAATTACTTAATCCTCAAGACAACTACTGTTATATCACAGACGAGGCACATGGAAAGTAAGGAATTTGCCCAACATCACAAAGTAAGGATTGGAGCCAGGACTCAAAGTCAGGTGCACTGTAGCTCCAGAGTCTGTACTCTGAACTCCTGTGCCATGGTTCCCTCAGGAAATAGGGGTCGTAGTCCTACTCAGCCACCTCCCTAGCTTTTCAACATTTTATGCGAGTTGACTTGGTTCTCTGTGTCTGTTTCCAACTGTAAACTCAGCAGAATAATAGTGTGTGACCTTTCTCATGAGAATGAAATAAAGTAATAGGGGGGAAGAATTTTCAAAGAGTGAAGTAGATAATAAGTGTTCATTGTGCCTATTTATTATTATTATTGTTTATGCTTTTTTGCAAAGTGTTTTCTTTTGAATCTACTCAATATTTAATAAAAATAAAGAAAAGTGTTATAGAAATTGGATTTGATTTCATATCTCTGACTTTATATTGCAACAGAATATTAATATAGAAACAAAACTTTATGAAACTATATGGATTTCGTGCAATAGAGGATAAAAATTGAAGAAACAAACTGAAACCACTGTAAAGAAAAATGTTTTAAAATTCAGACACTTAACATGAAACATTATCTATCCCATATCCTTACTCAAAAATCAATTTATGAATAGGGTAAAGACAGAATAGAAACAAAAAGCAAGGAAATACTTTAACGAAAAATTAAGAAAACTAAGATGATGGGTATTATACTTTATATCTATCTCAGTGAATCAACATTCTACACCAAAGACGTGTCATTTTTACAGGTTTCCAGCTTGGAAATCATGCAGGAATTGATATGTGGCTCCGTTTATTAGAAGCACAGAGAGTCAAATTTAAGTTTTCCTTTATCCTTTCCTGTTATTTAATTTAGAATAAGAAAACAAAGTTTTGAAGGTGAGACAACAAAATAAAAAAGCTTCTATGGAAGATTTTTTCCTTCTCTCTTCACAGGGAAAAATAAACAGGTTAATGAGGATTTGTCACTTAATTTTGAACACCTACATTTCTCTGAGGTCTGAGGGCAAATGAATTAGTATAGATTCTGAAGGAAGATAGAACTGGCCACCTCACCAGAACGCCTTTTCCCACCTCATCTTGGATTTTCTTTTTTCCCAAGAGAGAATTCTGAGGCATCTATATCAGGTTGTGTTGATCTAGCTTAAGCAAAGTGCTGTTTCCTATAAGGTTATTAAAGATTTCTATAAGGCAAAGAAGTTTGGAGAATTTTAAAATGACATGAATTCTTGACAAATACAGAATGATTGCATCAAAAGTGTAAGTGGCTAAACTAAGAGAAGATAAGGTTTCCTGGAGTTTATATCCAAAGCATATCTTTGAGGCATGTCAACACTACTTCACCCAGTTTTTGTTTATGAAACATTTTAATGCCTTTCTAGCTACATAGTGCAAAAGCAGCTGCTTTGTGAATTTAATTTTAGAGGAAGATGGAAAAGCTCTGTGCAACCTGGCAAGACATAAAAGGGTTTACTTAGAAAATATAGACAAATATCACAATAAGACTGGAAATGCTGAAAGACAATCTGCTTTCCCCTAGAGTTACTGTTTTACTTGTACATCTATCCATTCCCAACTTTCCAGTTCTTTTCTTTATTGAGATTAGGTATCCACCATCAATTTATTGGAGTGTTTAGAAGAAAGACATTTTGTCTAGAAGGATTCTGGACCTGGGAGACCCTGTTTCTTGCCATACTGAGGGAGTCCTATTCTACTATGAGACTCTAAGTACTTTGCAATGAAGAAAGAGATTATTAGGTTAGCTCAATCAAATTACAGTTGGCCCTTTGTATTTCTGGGTTCTGCATCTGTGGATTCAACCACCTGCAGATTAAAAAACTTGGGAAAAGACGATAAATAACAATACAATAAAAATAATACAAAATGTTAAAAATACAGTATAACAACCTGCTACAGTATAGTACATGTGTAAATAGTTGTATTAGGTATTATAAGTAATCTAGAGATATTTAAATTACACAGGAAGGTGTGTGTAGGCTATATGCAAACACTACACTTTTTATCAGGAGTTTGAATGTCAGTGGATTTGGTATTCACAGAGGTCCTAGAATCAATCCTCTGTGGATACCAAGGGACATCTGTATTGCTCATACAGTTGATTAATTATTACAGATTTGTCTTGGGTTTTAAAGTGGTTTTCACTTACAAGTTGCACCTCATTCATATTTATTTATTTTGTTGGAGAGCAATGCTGGTTGGAGAGGAAGACACTTATTTTTGGAATTGGGATCATACATTCTATAACCTATTGCAGAGAGGAACTTTTATGGTGTTTTTAACCATTGTATATTAAAACAAGATTGAAGGGCAGCAACAATTTCAATAATTTCATGTAATTTCCATTTATTTTATTTCCTAAAGGAGTTGAGTTATATTAAATTTGGGCAGCTACCAGTTTTATACTACCAAACACAATAGATTATGAAATGACCCTTTAAATGAAGTCCCTCTGTAGCCTTCCAATAACCAGCTACCCACCACCCCCGGTGACATATCTTATCATGGAGACATCTGGATACCCACGATACCTATAGCACTATTATCCAAAATGTGTGTTCTAATACGTCAGTCCATAATGCTGTGTGACAGGACTGCTCTTATTTCTCTCTACATCACTGTGTTTTAAATTTAAAGAAAGAAATGAATGCTAGATAAATTACTACGGTTTGGGATCACTTCTATACTCCCCCCACCTTCCCAAAAATAAACCCCATAATATTTTATAAATCCAGGTGTGGCTTTAATTACAAGATCTACTTTTTTAAAGAAAATTAATTACAATTTTTTTAATATCTAACACACTTTCCACTTATTCCCACCCCACCTAACCTTCAGGGTTTTGTACCTGTACCTGGTACCAAATGGTCAGCTTTCTGCCAAGACTGCCTTTAATACACGGTCAGTTCACTTCATGAGTCCCTGAGAACAGCTGAAGTTGATCCAACAGCCAGTTGTTCAAAGATTCTATTGAGAGTAGTTTATTTTATTCTTGAGCATCTGTAAAGATATGCTCCATTGCGAATTAAGCCTTTTTAGTGACAGAGTACATGATGACAGAACCCCATCAGCCTTATCAGGAGAAGTTCCCTGACCTCATTATTACTAATGGATCCATGGTAATTCAGCCTGTTGTGAATTCTCATGTTCAATTATGCAGGATAATGAGTGATTCAAAACTTAATATGTCTCAGCTATCGTCCTTATGATAGGACTTGTACAGCTTCTTTCAAAAGTGAAACAAGGTTTTAAGTAGAGTGGTTCACTTTTATGTCCAAACAGAAGTTATCACCAATATTCAGATGACCTGATTTTAAAATAAGACAGAATTGCTCTATAACTTTATATTTCACTGATCCTTTTGTAGGAAAGTTAGGACAGGCTTATTCATTTTTAAGTGTTAATTCTGGAATTCTAAAAGTATGCAAATGGCATTTGTCTTTGGATTCACAAAAACTCTAGATATTCAGAGTTTGAATTATTTAAACTCCCACAACACATGCACTTTTGCTTTTCAAGCATGAGTTATAATTTAATTAAAAACTTCTGGTGCATTGCTAGCATTTTAAATATTAATATGTTCCATGGATCACTTTCGATTATCTACTGTCTTAAAATTCTTGAAGATGTCAGATTTTTAAGATTCCCAAAGTTGCACTTGGAATTGTCTGTTGAGGCAAAAGGGACTGTGATAATTACACACATCCATTAGGATCAGCAGAGGAGATAAACTTTGGGGAGGCTTAATGGGCATGTCTCAGTGACAGCTAGCAAAGAGCATTTGGCATGATTAAGGATGGATTTGAATGCAGTTGAAAATATACTCTCATTATGGACACCCAGTGGAAGTTGCACTACAAATGTTAAATTCCCCAGAAGAAGAGTAGTGTGGCAGGGAAGCTTTGAAATCCACTGTGGCCATCAACCAAATTATTCTCTTTCCTTTATGTCTTTCTCCTGTCAGAAACACTTTGTGATGCCCATTTCAACTCCCTACATCTCTGAAAAGAGGCAACCTGTTGATCTCTGTATTTCAGATTGTCCGAAGATACATCAAGGATTGGCTTGAGAGAAAGAAGCCTCCTTTTGGTGCTATCAGCAGCAGTGTACTCCTCATGATCATCTACACAACATTCTGTGACACGTTCTCTAACCCAAATATTGACCTGGATAAATTCAGCCTTGTTCTCATACTTTTCATAAGTAAGTTGGCAAATGGGATAGCCTGGCTATCCCTCAGTCTCCTCAGTAGCAACGCGTAGCACTGTGTGTTCTCTAAATTCATGTCTAGTGTTAATTTGACTAGAAATGAATGCTTAATTTTCTATTACATTTACTCAGTGACTTTATTCTGTTCTTTTAAAATACATCGGCTTTACACTTACATCTTAATTTCCTTTGTTTTTGAGTCTGCTGCCCCATTTTCTGATTTACAGTAGTTGATGTCAGATGAGAGAAGCCTTAATTTCTGTCAGATGCAAATGTTAGATTGAGCACTGTGTCACCAATTTAGTTTATAATAACTTTAAACTGATCTTACGCCTTACTGTGATTTAAAAACAGGATTTATAATTTATGATACTGTTATTTCTAAGCATAATAACTTGGCTACATTGGTTAAAATATGAATATTTACATCATATTTTCTAATAAAATTTACCCAAAGTAATATCATTTCATTTTGAGAAGCAGCAGACTATAAAAGGCAGGAAACTGCTAAAGCTCAAAAAGCAACCTTTTGTTCTGTTTATCCTATAATCCCAAAGACAACTGTTACTAATGTTGCAATATCAAAGAATCTTTTGTTATTCTAAAGTATATTGTATGCTACCGCATTTGTGATATTTGCTAGAAATATTCATAGTATAAACCAGCTATTTCTAAATTGACCAAATTAAATAACCAAATCTTAAAGAGGCTTTATGTTTTCCCTCAATAACAAAGACTGTGTCTGGGGATATTATCAGTAAGAACAGACTGAGTCCCACTAATTTAAATGATTATTTCAGTTTAGCAAGGCATGCTTGTTTGGTTTATTTGTTTGTTTTTCTTTTTTAGTTCCTATAAGTAAACTATAGGAACTAAAAGTAAAGTAAGTAAACCTATAGATAAAACAAATATAAATAAACCTATAGATAAAACAAATATACAAATAAGTATGCTACAAATACTGCTTTCAGAGTGCTAATTTAGATTCAATCTTTTTTTCTTCAGTATTTTCTATCCAGCTGAGTTTTATGCTTTTAACTTTCATCTTTTCAACAAGGTAAGTGATTTGGTATCTCTTGTTATTAGTTTTCTAAATGAGGAATCGTGCTCTCTACTTAGCTGCTATGCCACTACACACATTTATATTTTTTTCTCCTTTTACATATGTTTTTCTCCTGTCTCCCGGACCATTCTGCCTCCCTTCTGCCACCCTCAAATTGTAGACATTATAAAGGGTCTTTCCCTGGTCTTATCTTGTCTATCCATGTCGAATGCTTAGGCAGGCTCCTCCATTCTACTGGCTTGAACTGTTAGCTTCATACTGATAATTTTCAAGTGTAAACCATCCATTGTAATGTTTTTCCTGAGTTTGAACCCTATTTTTGACTTACTATTTAGATATCTTTACTTGACTGTCTTAACAAGACCTTAGACTTAAGATATTCAAAATGGAGTTCATGTTTTTCCCAAAAACTGCCTCTTTCTCTCTTATTTCTTTCCTTATTTTTAGTGAACCACCATCCTCAGAGTTACTCAAACTGGAATTCTTCACATCACTTTTTTTTTAAATTTCTCGATCTGTCTTCTGTAATATTTTTTCTGCTCCCAAAGCTACTTCCTTAATTCAGGCTCTTGTTGCCAGTTTCTCTCTAGGCTATTTCAATGGATATCTTACTGATAATTAATTCCATTTCTACACCCAGCTTTTGTTATGCATTTCATAGTGCTTCCAATGACTAGATTTTGGATAATGGCTCTCTGGTTCAGATATCTTTAATGGTTATCCAGTGCCTATAGAATGAAGTTTATTTTGGGGGACAAGGTCCTCTAGTCTATATTCCAGTCTCATGAACCACTACTAGTATTCGTGCTGTCTAAGCTTTAGGTTCTGCTCCCTGGAAAGACCTCATGCTTTCTCATTTCTGTCCCTTGCTTAGGCAGTCCCCATATCCAAATTATTCTCCATGTCCTGGTTCCTCCTTCCTGTTCTTAAAAGCTTACCTCCAATGCAAACCTTTGTTATACATTACAAATATTACTTGAACTTTTGGTTAGAGAAAGTTACCATAGGGAATGACACAAATAAGAGGTGATTTCTATCTTGCACTGATAACCCAAGTGTCCTCTGGGTGGTACAGTAAGCCAACCTGCATTCAGTTCAAAGAAGAAGGAAGCACTTCCCAAGAGAGTATAGAACAAGGATTCATGGAAATGAGGGGACTTGACCTGAGCCATACAAAATGGCTAATTGTTCAGCAGTTAGAGATGCCAAGAGAGTTCTTCATAGGAGAAGAAGCAATAATGCAAATGTGGACACATACAAAAATCAAGATATGGTGAGACAATAGGAGTAGAGGAAGATTAGAAATAGTAATAGTAACTGGAAGGATAGGCTTGAGCCAGATTGCAAAATCCGTGAACACCAGGCGATAGCAATGAGTGACCACAAGGGAAAGAGCCTATGCTGTTTATAAGGCTTGAAAAAGTGTCAGAGCAGTGGATGGTACAGGCCTCACATTAGGCACTTGGTTCTCATAGCACTTGGTATAGCACTAGGCTGATTGTAAACAGTCAATAAAAACTTATTGATTGATATAATTTGAAGCATTTTCCCAAGCTAGAGGTTGTGATTTATGAAGTAAGAGTAAAGCCTGGAGCCATTAAGTCACAGAGAAAATGTGACTTAATTGGGTAAGTCTGAAAGCAGGAGCTATTTTAAAGTTCTTTTTGTAAATGGTTTGTTATATCACCTTAGAAAAGACATTTGCCTTTCAATGGCAGTTTGTTTGCTGGTGCTTGTGGCAAAAGTGATCATCAGAACCACTCCTATCGGATGAAATAGGATGCAGATATCCTGTTAGTGACTAAAATTTTCTTGAAAAATAGAACACAGAGCAGCCACTACTGGGACTGCTAAAGGAGGCATGGGTGGCAGAGATGTGACACCTAGTTGAACTGAAATTAAGAATTTATAGCACGGAGAAGACTGGACTTTCATAAGGATCTGTGATTTTAAAACCCTTCTGCATTCACCGAGGTTCTGTCAGGGTTTTTGTTTTGTTTTGTTTTGTTTTGTTTTGTTTTGTTTTGAGACAGGGGCTTGCTCTGTCGCCCAGGCTGGAATGCAGTGATGCCATCATAGCTTGCTATGTTATGCCCAGACTGTTTATTCCCCGAAGAAGACCACCAGAGTCCAGAGTCAAAGCTAAGCAGCAAGGATCTTTATTACAGGTTCGAACCTGGAACTATCCCTCGCTCGCGAAACGAGACGGACAGGAGAGCTCCCCCACTGAGCTCCGAGCAGTGTTATATAGTCTAAGAAAAGTGGGCATAGAGTTATTATACAAATCAGATATATGATTGGCTAGTGTTTGAACAAGGCGATTTGGCTAACTATGATTGGTTCCCACCATTTCTGATATTTCGGTTCAACCTTTGAGGCAGGAGAGCAGGTTTATGGCAGCAAGAGTTTATCTTACTTAAACACGTCTTGTGACCTTGCCTCAGAACTTACAAAATCTCTGGTACGTGCAGAAAAACAGGTACTCACAGAACTTACGAAATCTCTGGTATGTGCAAAACAAAATCTCTGGTACGTGCAGAAAAACAGGTGCTCACAGAACTTACGAAATCTCTGGTATGTGCAAAGATTAGAGAGCAGAACAAAGGGTGTAGTGGGGGGGGCGGGTACACATCTATCTTTGTGTTCTTTCAGCTACAGCCTCAAACTCGTGGGCTCAGGTGATCCTCCTGCCTCAGCCTCCTGAGTTAGCGACTACACGCAAACACCACCATGCCTGGCTAACTTGTAATTTTTTTGTAGAGACAAGCTCTTGCTATGTTGCCCAGACTGGTCTTAAACTCCTGGCCTCAAGTGATTCTCCCACCTTGGCCTCCCCAAAGTGCTGGGACTATAGGCAGGATTCACCGCAACTAGCCATCTGTCGGGTTTTTAACTTCCTTGACTTACGGTCAAACCTGCACATTCTTTGATAAACGACAGCATATAGCTTGATCATTTCTCCCTCTCTGCACCCTCTTCCCACCCTGTCCCCTGCCATAATCATCTACTAATGATTTACTTCGAATTTGAAGCCTAAATTACTTCTCACATAGCCTCATTCTCTGTTCTCAAATTCCTGGCTTGCCTGGAGAATTTCTGTACTTTTGTTTTGTTTTTTGAGGTGTGAGCCACCGCGCCCAGCCCAAGAATTTCTATACTTTAAAAAAAATCTGGCTGGATGTGGTTGCTCATGCCTGTAATCCCAGCACTTTGGGAGGCCAAGGTGGGCAGATCACGAGGTCAGGAGTTCGAAACCAGCCAGGCCAACTTGGCAAAATCCCATCTCTACTAAAAATACAAAAATTAGCCGGGTGTGATGGCATGCACCAGTAGTCCCAGGTACTCTGGAGGCTGAGGCAGGAGAATCACTTGAACCCGGGAGTCGGAGGTTGCAGTGAGCTGAGATCACGCCACTGCACTCCAGCCTGGGTGACAGAGCAAGACTCTGTCTCAAAATAATAATAATAATAATAATAATAATAATAATAATAATAATAATGAGATGGGGCATTAGCTTTGCTAGCTTTGTAATACATTATTTTTTACTTTTCTCTGTCCCACTTGCTAGGAAATGAGTTGATTCATCAAACCAAGAGTCAGCTATCCAATGACCTAACCATTCTGCAACTTTGGGAAACTGCAAAAAAAAAAAAAAAAAAAAAAAAAAACAACAACAAAAAAAACCACACATTGAAAAAGCTTAGAAAAGGAAAGCAGTAATTGAGCATCTTTTAAAAATATATAAAAAGTTAAAAAGTTTGGTAGGCTGATAACTAGAGTAACAGAAACCTTTATTGTTTTCACATTAGAGTGGCAAAAGAAACTGTAAAGAAAGGAAAAGGAAGAAAACAAATAAATTTGTATATGTGTTTTAATTCTGATCAGTACATTTCCAGTCAGATATCTCAATCTGCCTTTCACCATAGCCCTGGGAGAATCAGGATGGGAGAGTGGGAAAGGGAAGCAGGGAAGGAAGGTGGGGACGATCATTAATGGTAAGTTTCCTTACCATTTCAGAGGAGGCAACTAAGCCTTGGCACCTGGGTAGCTTGTTCAGTGCCACTGAACTAATGACAGAAGAGGTCTTATCTGAAAACTAGCGGAGACAAAACACAGGTACAGAGGTTAACAAAGGAGAGGCTTCACATGGAAGTTTCCTCCTCTGAAAATAGTGGGCTTAGACAGAAGTATCTCAAAGGACCTTTTCTGCTCCACATTCTGTGATTCTACTAGTAAAACCTGACATGTTTTCCTCTGTGGGTACTGCAAAGGCAGGCAAAATAAACGTTATGTGGAAAACACTGATTGAAAGCTTTGTAAGAGAGAATAAAAAGACCAGTTGGGAAGAAAAGGAAATAAACATCTCAAGAGAAGGCAAAGTGATCAAAAGAATCAGTAAAAACAGGATAAAAAGAAAATCAATATTAAAAAGAGATAAGGTAGAGTTAGAAAATAAATAGTAATGTGATTCCTTTCAAGAATGTGAGCAGACACAATAGAGATGTTAATCAGTGAAAATAATTTTAGTCATTACTACTCAAATATAATGTAGAGGACACTTGATTTTTCTGGGTCTTGTCATGACCTTGTACCATGAAGTCCCCCTTGACAGTATGTCTAAGCGTGGATTATTTACCAAGATAGCTGCTCTCACCCATTACATTGTGTAGTGTTTTTCGTTTTAATATTTTGTTTCTCAAAAGGCAAACTTATGACCAAGATTTGGGGCAACCAACTTACCAGTTGTGTGACTTTAAGGGAGTTGTTTAACCTACTTGTGTTTCCAGTTCCCTTTTTGGAAAAAGCAGAGCAATAATACTATTTGTACGGCTTTTCTGAGAAGGAAGTAATACTGGCTGCAACATGCTTAGAAAAGTGCTCAATAATGCTTATGCTATGATAATTTACCACCCTCCTGAACAGAGGGTTAAGTGAGCATCTGCTCTATCAGCTTTCCCTGATGTACAGCACTCCGGTCCTACGTAGCTAGAGTACAAGTCAACCCTGTTGAGGAGGAATATTGTTTTTAACCTTAAATGTTCCCTTTTTGTGCCTTAAGGTTCTAATCCTCCTTCCCACTGATGGACTTTTGGTCAATAAAACTGTAGAGCAGTGTTACTGAGAGCAGAGAGCCAGAAATCTCCCAGTGTGGCCCTAGCTTTAGTCTCTTTACCTGAAACAGAGGACAAGTAAGCATCTCTTGCAAATATCCTCTTTAGCCACATTGTGAATGCTGCTCTAATGAGCAGTGGCCAGGGCCAGATTAATTCAGAGCCTCCTTGACCAGAAAGACTATGACATATTGGAAATGTGCTATAACCTTGAAAAGAACAAGATATGAAGCCAAACAAAGTTTACTAAAGGAAAAATATATTGCCAGACTCCAGGAAGAAAACTAAATGCATAAACCCAGATGCAGCCATGGCTGATACAAACAAGGGCCACAAAAGACAAAGTTTTTGAAGTGCTCCTAGCACCACAAACGTTTCTGGACAACATCCCCCACCCACCTAAGCCAGCTGATCACATTACATGTTCTACAATCACTGGAGGGCACTGACTCCTGCATGGAAATTTTTTTATTCCTTGTTAATTGATTGAAATTCATATTCTACAACCTGCCAATTTCAAACTTTTCTAATGTCTTTGATTCTCAGCCTTGGAATTAACTCCAAATAGGCTCACACTTTACAAAGAAAGTAAAATCTCTGACATAACTTGCCTCTGCTTGCCCGTTCTCTGCCTGAAAAATCTCCATATTTTTCACTCCCCTTGTTCACTTTTGTTTCCAATTCAGATATGACAGGAAATGCCCTGCTCCAGATAACCTCTTTATTCTTGGCTTTTCAGGTCTCTTTGGGGACCTGTGTTCATCAGGTATTTCTCTCTGCTGTGTCTTCATTCTCTCTTTATAGTCATGGTCAAATATCCTGTGACCCTTTTCTTCTCTTTGCCTAATTTCTTGAAAACACAGTCCTCACTACTCCAAACACGGTCCTTCTCACCACTCCAAACATAGTCCTTCTCACTTCTCCAAACTCAGTCCTTCTCACCGCTCCAGCCTTAGTCCTTCTCACCACTCCAAACAGAGCCCTTCTCACCACTCCAAACAGAGTCCTTCTCACCACTCCAAACTCAGTCCTTCTCGCCGCTCCACACACAGTCCTTCTCGCCGCTCCAGACTCAGTCCTTCTCGACGCTCCAGACTCATCCTTCTCGCCACTCCAGACTCAGTCCTTCTCGCCGCTCCAGACTCAGTCCTTCTCGCCGCTCCACACACAGTCCTTCTCGCCGCTCCACACACAGTCCTTCTCGCCGCTCCACACACAGTCCTTCTCGCCGCTCCAGACTCAGTTCTTCTCGCCGCTCCAGACTCAGTTCTTCTCGCCGCTCCAGACTCAGTCCTTCTCGCCGCTCCACACACAGTCCTTCTCGCCGCTCCAGACTCATCCTTCTCGCCGCTCCAGACTCATCCTTCTCACCGCTCCAGACTCAGTCCTTCTCGCCGCTGCAGACTCAGTCCTTCTCACCACTCCACAGTCCTTTTCGCTGCTCTGAACAGTTCTCACCACTCCAAACACAGTCCTTCTCACCACTCCAAACATAGTCCTTCTCAGTATTCCAGACTCAGTTCTTCTCACCACTCCAGACTCAGTCCTTCTCACTACTGCAAACACAGTCCTTCTTACCAATACAAACTCAGTCCTTCTCACCACTACAAATTCAGTATACATCAGCATCAACTCCTTGGCCTCCTTCCCAAGGCTGACTGAGCCTCCTCTTTAATTCTCTGTTTCCTTAATGCTCCTCTCAGTTCCATATGCTCAAAGTTTCTAATTTCTCTTCAATTCTTCTCTCTCAAAGCAATAATATCAATATCCCCTAGCTTGTGTTCGACATATACATTGTGCCACACATTCTTAACAAGCATTGGCATTTATCCCCACAATTGATCCTAAGAGTCAGAGAGTCTTATACTCATTCTACATATGAGCAAAAGGATGGCCTGGAATTAAAATCCGGCGTGTTTGCTCCAAAAGCCTGCACTGTTGATCTGTTGGGAGGTACTATTGCACAGAAGTTAACAGAAATCCTTTTCATCCTGTCTGCATGTCTCTTTCCACCATCTCCTGTCCTCACTATGATTCTTTAGGCCCTTAGAGCTCCCTGCTTCCTGCCCAGCCTCACCATCTTCAGTCTTATACCATGCTGTGTGATCACTGCTCCTTAAGAATTGATCCACTCATGTCATTCTACTGTCCCAAGTCCTCAGCAGTTTCACTTATCCCATCATATCAACTCAATACTCCTAATCATAAGCCAGTGTCCCTGCACACAAGTCAGCCTGAAGAATCTGTTCTTTGCCAACTGCCCCCTCTACTCCCGTACTGCAGTCTCACTGTCCCCTATCTAAAACACACATCTGCACATGTCTAAATCTATTCTTTAAGGCTCAGCTCAATTGTTATTTTTTCCCAGAAGGTTATTTGTGCTCTATCATCATCTCCTACTTTCCCTGCCAAGCTAGAGGTGATCCTTCTCTTTCAGCTGCAAAGTACTCTGTTTCTCTCTCCTCTCCTCTTTCTCATATATATCTGTAGTGCTTTCATCTCTCAGCCCGTGCATTTACGGAACCTTATGGAACTCCTTCCCCATTAGGCTTACTGTGAGGAATAAAGGGATGAAGAAATATGAAAGCCATGTAGTGCAATGTTTAAAAAACAAGAATGGTATTACAAAATCAATATGAGAATAAAATGTAGAAACAATAAACCAGTGTTATTATACTCAATAAGAGTATATGATATGCATCCATGGGGAATCCTCAACTGAAGTGAAACACCAAAAATTCAGTTTGAAAGTTATCAAGAAAGAGCTTAGAAGTAAGACTGGTTAGGAAGCAGAAACATGCATGCCTTTTCAGAAGAGAGACCAAAGGCCATTTTAAATATTCTCTAGACACAGGCACAGGGGATGAGGAAGCATGGGGGTGGGGGGAGGGGGGCCGTGGAACTCTTCTCTCCTCCTGTGAATGTACAACAAGAAAAACAGGATGTGGGATCTATTTAGGGAAGAGTTTTCTCCCATGGGATGAGATTACTAAGGGAAATGATTGGGTCTCTTTCATTAGGGAGCCTTAAAAATCAGGTACATTGTTATATTTGCAACTGTATACATGGAGTCAGTTTCTAGAGCATTTTTCCATTTGCTAACTCTTCTGTCAAAGTTCAGAGCAGGGAATGAATAGACTCCATATAGTCAAATCCTGATATCCTGACTCCACAGCAAAGAATAGTTTCTAAAATACAAGGGCATAATCATAACAATGACATTTTTAACTTTTTTGGCTTTCTAAACCCTTATTATCTAAAACAGGAAATCTGATTATGACATCCAATTCCCAGGACTCACTCCCCACAACATTTAATTAGTTTTGACTCAGTGAGGTTTTTTTAAATGTTTAACATAGTATAGAACAATAGTAGAATATAGTAATTAAGAACAGGCCTAGGAACTGGACTCTATTTGAATCCTGGCTCTGTCACTTACTACCATGGGCCCTGAGTATGTTATACACTTCTGTGTACCTCAGTTTTCTCATCTGTAAATAGGAACATTGTATCGCTTGCCTTTTGGGGTTGTTGCTTTTACATGTAAAGACATTAGAGAAGTACCTGATACATGATACTGCTCAAAAAATGATAATTTGTTTTTACTAAAATGTATAATGTTAAATGTTTGTTCATACCATGTATTTCTTAAGTGTATGTTTGCTGTCAAAAGGATGTGTTGCTCCTTGAAAGAAGCATTTTTAGAGATACATTAATCCTTTCAAGCCACTGGGTAAACATCAAGTAGTAACCTAGAAACTTGGAGTTCCTTGTTGCATTATTTTTATAATCAGTCCTGCTCCAGGGGCTGATTATATACCTGATCCAAGGCAACCTCCACCACACATTTTTTTTTTTTTGAGACAGAGTCTCGCTCTGTCTCCCAGGCTGGCGTGATCTCTACTCACTGCAAGCTCCGCCTCCCGGGTTTACGCCATTCTCCTGCCTCAGCCTCCCGTGTGGCTGGGACTACAGGCGCCCGCCACCGCGCCCGGCTAATTTTTGTATTTTTAGTAGAGACCGGGTTTCACCGTGTTAGTCAGGATGGTCTCGATCTCCTGACCTCATGATCCGCCCATCTCGGCCTCCCAAAGTGCTGGGATTACAGGCGTGAGCCACCGCACCCGGCCTCCACCACACATTTTTACAACTGTTCTCCTTTTCATGGATAAATGACTCAGAAGTGGTTCTCTAAAAAGAAATTCAGACACTTCTGTACACTTGGGTGTAGAATTACCACTGTCACCAGGATTGATCAAAGGGATGTTAACATAAAGGTAGGTACTACATTTGATTTTAGATGTGTTAAATTGCCTTTTTATAAAAGTATTTGTCAAAATCTTTTTTTGCCCCTAGGAATAATTCGGGTTTCACACCAGCAGACACAGTGGCTATCATTTTCTGTTCTACACACAAATCCCTCACATTGGGTAAGTGATTCACAGAGTTAAAAACCATATATTACCCTCATATAGTTACATCTTACGATTTTGAAATTCAAAGAACTCTTCAAATTAAACGGAATGGGATATTGTCCACACTGTTAGATACGGAACAGTAGCAAAGTGAGGGTGGGTCATAGATTTGAAATTCTGTTATTTGAACAAATCTCTGTGGGCCAAAATTAATATTGTAAAACTTAGCTTAATTTATAATCATGTTTTCACTTCTCATAAAAGATTATCAATGTAGAATGTTAACCTCAGAGCAGGGGTGGAGATGCTGTGGAAACTACTTCTAAATAGGGAATTGGCAAAAACTTTGCTTTGGCAGGCCCTAGAATTGTCCCCAGAAAAGATTAACTTATTTTCCAGCAGCTCAGAGCAAGGTGGGAATAATGTTATTACTCTAATTTGATATTGACATTAGTTTGATGCTCATTTCTGAATGTTATTTCTGTAAAGAAACAATATAGTTATCATTAACTCAATCAGATTAGCACTAAAAGTGAAATAAGTATTTATTTAATGGACAAAAATGGATTAAGAAGAAAAGTGCTATTTTCTACTTAGCTTTATCCAATTAGTGGCATTATCCCAATAACCTGTTAGACATCCAGAATCTATGTTTTTAGTCATTAAAAGTCATTAAGTAATCAGAAGCTTTATTGAAATATACATCAGTCACAAACTCCTTGGGGTGGTGGGCATGTTATGGCAAAAACTCATATTAAAAATTTCTCTACATTTTGGCACGAGTCACTTAAGAGAATGAAGAATCATTATGTTGTTCTTAGTCTGCTTACGTTAAGGAAATTCAGTCTGTGAACTAGAAAATGAAGACATTTCATGTTTTTATTAATCCCAAACACATTTGTCTGATAGTCTGCTGTCAGTCTTACCAAGCTTGGAAAATGATTTTGAAATTGGACAAACCCTTAGGAGCAGTTGTTATTGAGAGCTTCAGCTTATCTGAATAAATTATATAATTTTTTTGTATTTGTGTAGCTATAATCATCATTAGATTGAAGTTGAAACAGTCTTAAAAGCCATATTCCAATCCTAATTTTGTGACCCTGGACAAAGCAGTTAACTTCCCTGAAGCTTAGCCTTTTCATCTGTAGAAGGGGCAGAATAACATTCATTTTGTAAGGCTGTTGTAAAGATTCAAGTTTAAATTTGCTAACAGGTAGTCAATAAATGACAAGATGTGTGCAATAATCATACTGTAAATAGATTGCTGTGGACTACATGAGAGAGCCCATCTAATAGCTTGCTGTGCTGCCTGGCACTTGGTGAGTACTCTATAAGGTGTAGCTATTCTTATTGATTATTAATAACTATGTTAGTTACAACTATGTTACCACTCCCAAGGTTCTAGTCTCCTGACCCCTGTCTTGTAGATTTTCATGAAACAAGTGTATTTTAGTTGTTGACTTCAAAGAAATCATCTTACACTTCTTTCCCATGTGTGTTATTGTCAGGTACTGTCTGTTGTCTCAGGTCTTCTAAAACCTGAGGGACTTTTATAAAGTTAGTGAGTCCAGATGCAGGTGCTGCTAGACTCCTCAGATACACAGAGTGCAGGGATCGAATGAGCCTGTATCCTTAAAGCATAGGCTGAAACCATTCCCACATTTCTGCAATGGGCTTGCAAACCTGACCCACTTTTTTTTTTTTTCTATTCTGAAGATTGTTCTTATTTTTCTTTCTTTTTTTTTTTTTTTTACTTTAAGTTCTGGATACTTTTAAGGACTTGCTTTTGTCAGGAAAACCAAAAAGGGTTTTCTCTGTTTCTCTGTTCTGTGCTAGAGCTGGTTGTGCTGAACAAAGAGCAAAACGCATACCCAAGAAGCATACAGCGGTGTGATCAGTGTGCTTTTCTATAAGGATTTTTTGTCTTTTTATTTTTCTTAATCCTAAAGTCATATTTTTCTGTCCTTTATACTCTCCAAAAGCTAATTTTCAAGCAAACAGATAGGTGCTATGAAGTAGTTGTTTTGCTAAAAAGGCTTGGGTTAAATTGGATTTCTGTTTGCTTTTGTAGTGTTCTACCATGAAATAGATCCTCCAGTAAGATGCTGTTCTAGTATAGTATCTATGTAATCCTTAGCTACTTTCATAACATGATAGACATAGGCTGTCTTGGAATTAAAAGACATAAATACTCATCCTGGCTCTTCCACTGATACTTTCCTGGGCCTCAGTTTCCTTGGTTCTAAAATTAGGTAATTTTACTTCCAACTCCAATATTTTGTCATCCCTTGATAATATTTGGCTTCTGTCTTGCAGTCTCTTACATAGTATTTGTGAAAATGCCCTCTTTGCTGCTTCAGATCTCAAACAGATCACCCCTGTTTCCCCATACAGCAAGGGAGGTTTAGATGCTAATGTTAGAATGTTCTTGGTAAGCACTATAAATGTGCTGTATCCATTTCACAACATCCAATGCATGTGACCCTCTACTGGTGACCTGACATCTCTGGTACAGAGGATAGGCCATGACAGTGACCTGAGATATAGGCTGATAATAGTCCTAATGGAAATTATTTTTTGTTTATTTTTTTTTTAATAAACTTTATATTTTGAAAAGCAGTTTAAGGCTCACAGCAAGATTGAGTGGAAGGTATAGAGATTTCCCACATACCACTTGATCCCATACATGCACAGCCTCCACAATATCAACATCCCTGCACGGAAGTGCAAGAACATCACAAGGAGTATGAGGACTTCATAGTCCAGAAAGCAAGGGGAAATTTTAGGTAATATCACTGAGGGTTATATTTTCTCTCACTGCTGGCCAAAGATGAAATATAACAGATTATAATATACCTATTTAGCACTTTAAAAATGCATCTTTCCCTTTGCAGTCACTATCATAGTATTTCTTCTAATTTTATGTATATCACATAGAATACATTAAGTGAAATACAAAATACCATTCATTATCATATCTAGTATTTGTATTTAAGAATAAATCATTGCAGGCCAAAAGGCAACCATGTAACTAATAAAGCAAAGATGAAAACTCTTGCTTGAGAAGCTTTCTGAGTATTCTCTTATATACACCTTCGATTTATTTTATTGTTCTTGCTTTTGCCCTATCTCGATCTCTTCCTTGTACTTGCATCTACACACATGCTGAATTTGATTCATTGCTTTTATTAGTGCATTTGCCATTGATTGATTAGTTCTTCGTATTAGTACTTTTTCTATTGATTGATTGCAGATGAAGTGACTATTTGACCTTTAATTATGAGGCTTCCTATTGAAAATGACATTGAGCTATGGCTTCACATAATCCATCTGGAAAGCCTGACATGATGCCATTCCCTGGAGTTCGTTCAGGAAGAAAGAGGAGGCCTGAAGGAAGTGCAGAGCTATCACTGTGCTTCATCTAAAACAATACTACAGGGCTTGTTTGCTGCTCTCCTATAGTTTCAGCTCAGGGTTGGAGGTAATTTTATATTTTGTCAAGACAGCATCACTTGCTGTGGGTTGCCATAAAAGCCATGAACTCTCCCAAATTATTCTTTAGTTTGATGACAATTTTTATGTAATAATGAAAAGATATTTTACATAGCAGAGATTGAAGAACAGCTTGTATCCTAGTTAATAATGGCTCAGTGCACAGTCAGTCAATAGATCTCATCAAGAAAGAAATTAGATCCAAGATATCCTGTGGAATTGGCATTTTACTTTCATCTTATTTATCTTTTTCTCTTGAGTATTCAAATCACTTTGCTTTTTTAGAGTTCCAATATATGCAGAAAACTTTCTCACTACATTTAGCAAGCAAATGTTTCAGGACATTTGAGGTCCTTAAGTTAAACATGTTTGTGTTAGTTTTTAATGTTTTTAAATAGCAAACTGAAAGTACATAACCTCAGAGTATGTCAGCTGACTACTGGCAGTCAATGGCAAGACTCCAAATTTCTTATTTCCAAAAGTACCTCCGAATTGACTGAATGCTAATTAAATATTAAATAGAATATCATCATCAATGCTTATTAAAAGTCCACTGTATATCTTGCCATTTGCAGACATTTGTGTACAAAGGCAAATCAAGGCAACTATTTCTTACATTGTTTATATGTACTTAATTATGGGTCTAGTTTCAGTTACACAGCTTAACTATGACAAGAAACTATGCATTAGGCTAAAAGAATAGAGCTTTCTGGTAGACACAGGATAAAGAGCACATCCCTGATTCTAGTCTGGATTCCTGTTACAGTTCTTTCACCAAAAGCTGGTATAAATCACTTAATTGCCATAGGCCTCATTTCCTCATTCATACAATGAGAAGATGGACAAAATGATACTTGAGATTCCTTCCAGTATTAAGTTTCTGTAAGTCTGTGACTGATATTTCTGCTCTATAGAATAACAAGTTTCCCTATTATGTGTGCAAAAGCAATAAGTTCTTGAAAGGAATACTTATATAAATAATGTTAACGTATTACAGGAAAGGAAATATGTCTATAGCTTCTTCCTAAAGAGGTTAAAAAATACCTTCAGACCCTCCAAACTGTCTTAGGAGAAACACAATCTTAAAAGGATCTTGTTTTCCATTTGATTGGAAGTTCTTTAGGAATGTTAAAGAATTACCTACAACTTGGGCTAAAAATCTCATTTAATAACATTTGAGTCATTTTGTCAAGAGGAAATTGATTTGAAATACAAAAGTTTGCATTTCTAGTATTATTTTCACACAAAGCCTATTCTACTTAGTACATAAAGAATCTTATCTTAATAAAACTACTCTACAATTGGGCTAAAAGGTTAAAGCTCTTAACCCTGTAGATAATGTTACCTAAACAATCTTGAATATTAGCAAGTCAGTAATTGTTGCCTTATTCTACATACAAATAAATGAAAGCATAGAAAAAAAATCTTTAAACTTCTCCCAGATAATATCCCAGAAACTGTATTCCAGGCCTCCTAACTTCCAGAACTGCATTGGATTATAGAATATGGAAACACTTTGAAGA